TGCTCTTCCGATCTATGACAAAATTGGATACTTCTCAATGTCAACATCATATTCTCTCGCCAAAGCCCAGTTCTGCCAGACTTTCAACCAAAATTTGGTGCTTTTGTTTGTATTTTCATTTAGTTCTTTTGTTCAAGCATAATTTGGTGCTTTTGTTCGTATTTTCATCTAGTTCCTTCACGGCAATTTCATTTCACATCTGTGTTTAAAATCCCTTTCCGCCATTTTGTTTGTTTTGGGAAAATCATTAATTGTACTGCAGTACAATTAATGAAATAATTGTACTCCTCTCAACCAATCAGCATCCAGTAATTTTGTCATGCTAATAATAAACCTATTTATAATCATCTGTCTGCATCCGCAAGTTTTTATTACTAAATGACAACTCACCGTAATTGCTTGAAAAGCATTTCCACCTTCAAACGGGATGGAGTATGATTGGGTAGGTGAAAAATTTCAGTCCCCGGGGCGACGGAATGCTCTACAGATTTATGGAAATTTATACTCTACTTTTAAAATAATATGCGACGTATCACATTACTTAAAACTTAAAAGAAGCATATACAATTGTCATTAAGCAATATTTTAGACACATAGAATGAAAAAACGTGTATTACCTGTGTTGGTTCGCGTCCATTTACTGTGAGTGGTACAAGATTTTCAATTTGACCTCCTGTCAGGGAAGGATTTTGGCTCATAGTCGTATTTAGTACAGTAGGTTGTGATATGACATTTGGTGACGAACTGTAAATAATGTTCAATATATCTGAGGGCATTGTTGCTCCACCTGGTAGATTAACAAAGAATGACAGAATTGAATCGTCGCCATCTTGCGTGGGAGAATTGGGCAAAATCTGGATATTCTGGAAGTCAATGTCGTTCAGTTGATCCCTATAATTAACAGAAAACGTGTTTAGTCAATGAAGGTACCACTGCAACAACACCCATGCAGAACGAATATCAACATTAACTGATGGACTAAACGATTTTAGTTTCCATGTTGAGCTTTAGTATTTAATTAAAGGCACAATATCTGTATCATTCGATCACGTTCGTGTTATTAAGGTCTATATGATTTCTATATAAAAGGTCTTGGAGGCAGGGGCGGAGCGAAGACTATCCTTTTCGGGGGGTGCAAGACAACTTTTTGCCGACAAAAGGGCGTGGCTAGCACGTTGTTAGGGCGTGGTCAAAACGAACCGTATTCATTTTTAAGTGATGTATAACGATGAAA